TGCACCCTTTGCACCACGTAATTTACGAAGTTTTCACGTGATCTGGAGTCAAACTGAGACTAGCAAACAGTGTCAGCATATCATTCAAGCCTTCTTCCTTGCATTATTCCTATCCTAGTTTTCCTGGCAAGACTTTGTGTACCTGATAACAGGAGAATTAGGCAGGAGAGAAAAGTCGTCTTATTGTGACACGTGACCAAGGAAGCCAGGATAGGCGAAGGAAGAAGTCTATGGAAAAATCTTACGAGAAGAAGAGATGGGATGGCGAGACACATCCTGAGGCACCCAGGATTGGTTAATTTGGTAATGTAAGGAACAGTTGAAGGGAATAATTGTAAGGGAAGACATTTTGGAATTTTTGAGGATGTGGGCTGTAAAGAATATGTGGAAATGAAGAGACTGGCACAAGATAGGCGAAAATGGAGGACCGCATCAAACCAGTCGGAAGACTGATGACAAAGAGAGAGAATTTGCAACACTTTATTTCCTCCAATAAAAACAAAATGGGTCTAATGATTCACGGCATGCAGGATGCTCCCGACCAACTCAGCGACTAGCAGTTTCTCACATGTGACTTTATCCCACAGCATTACTTACTTACGTTTAAAAGAATTGTATATACTCCTTGTTTAATAAGTTATTGTTATTTATAAAAGCGAAATATCCTCTCATTTACCATGAGAAGGCTAATATTCAAAATATTTTTAAAGGTGTTATATATGCACAAAATACTGCTAAAAATCCTTGTTTCACAATGTAATTAAACGGATAATGTGTTCAATTCAAGCCACGACCACTTCCCCCCGCATCCTTTATAACTGATTCATTTAATCTTCCTGCCATTCGACGACATTCTTCTTCGATTCCAGCCCTAGGGTCGTTGAGGACCTCGGCCTTCGGTGGAGTTTCCTTCCAATCTCGGTGGTCCTTAGTCCCTTTATACCAATTTCTTATTCCCATGATTTTCTAATCCTCTTCAGCCTCATCTCTACGTCTCTTACGTGGTCTATCGCTCTTTCTCCTTCATTTATGGGACCACGGATTTTTCTAATCATCCTTCTTTCAAATATTCAAAGGGCCTTTATTTCTTCTCAAGTCCCTGTCCAATTGTCGATTATCTAAAATCGATATTAAGTCACTGGTTTTTTTCTTTTTCAAGTAATAGAAAATTGTGTGAACTTTTACATTCAACCAAAGTGAAGCGTTGAAACAAATGCTTAAAATTACTTCCAATATCCGTTGTAAACGATCAGAATCTCAGTGTCTAATATCAGGGGAAATGAGTGGGTGGGAGAATCACGGCATTTAAGGGAATGCCGCCACCCGAATTATCTTTCAAACGATTTGAAATGAGCGCGCTCTGCTCGCACTGCCATCTCTGGTGACATCGTAGAAACAGATGGCGTTTGGGGGTTGTCGTCGCCTTGCTGCGATTGGGACCAATGAAATTCGAATGTGGCTTTTCGGCGCGTTTCCGACGTTATGGGGTGATTTTAGGGGACGAATCGGATCGCCGTATTCAATTCAAATTTTAAGAACAGTTACTGTGATAGCGCGCTTGTGTTGTGTTGGACTCCAAGTCGTGCAGACGTGTTCTGTTCGCAGTTTCAGTACATAAACAGCCGATTTATTGCACTGCCTGAATATCAACATAATTGTGTCTTTGCATCAGTGTGTCTCAATTCGTGAATAAATTGAGTGATTTCAACAACAACAACAACTGTGTCTTCAAGAATTGCACCAGCTCAGCGACTTCGCTGCCCTCCCGCGAGCGTCGCTCCAATTAAGGCCTTTCCTTATATTCCCTGAGAGTCGGAGATCCTCGCCCACCGACCGATCCTATGTCAAGGTATCCTGAGAAAACCTTTAACCCTCTCCGCGCACCGAAGTAACAAACGTTTTAACCGCACCAGCGCCGGCCTAGCTACTGGGTTTGAACCCGGGGCTACATCAGCAGAAGGCTGATTCTAAAGGAAGAACTCCACATGCGACGCATCGCAGCCAAGTTTGTGCCAAGGCTCCTGTCTGAGGACCAAAAGCAGAATCGACTTCTCGTTTGTCAGGAGCTCAAAGATCTTGTAAGAACCGACCCCAACTTCCTTTCTAAGCTCCGTGTGACTTCTTCCTCTTCCCAAAGATGAAAATTCAGCTAAAGGGAAGGAGATTTGAGACGATAGAAGACAAATTCCAGAATGTTTTAAGACTTGCGCGAAGAGGATTTCTCTTTGGCCCAGCAGATCGCTGGTTGTCACTTTTCAAATTTGAACCAAATGTTGCAACTAAGAGAACTCTAAAATAGCCATACCGTGCAGATATTTGTACTGAAATTAATCATCTAAACCTCTAACTGCTAGGAAACTTAGAGAATATTCTCGCTGCTCGAGGCAAGATTTCAGCATGTTGGCGGTTTGCCGATGAAGGTAACGAAGAGGTTTGATCTTGGTCATGACTTGAGCATTTGCTGTCACGAATTTCTGTTAGCCTTCGCACGGAGAAATACTTCCTGTGTTATAATTTTCTGAATGGCAAACAAAATGTGTAACACGCTGCAAAGTTAGCTCCAACGACCACAAACAATTTTATAAACGAAATTAATTCTATAACTTATTATCCTGCCCTTGTGAGAAAATTACCCTGAAGATGGAGGCAGCAAGGACCTCTGAAATGTTGGTAAACATCTACATGGTGCTGCAACCCAGAAGACAACCATCTTTGGTCTCACCACCATGAAAACCCTGAGTCCTACTTTATATTCATCTATAGGATATAATGATAATTTTCAGCATGAGTACTGATTTCCAGCATCTCTGTACACATAATTTACAAACACCCCATTAGAAATTACTGTGGTTGTAAGTCAACCAAAATATTTCTCTAGGCTTTATGTTGGCACTAAGGAGAAGTGAATAGATAGTTTCATGCTCCATCCCACTTAATTCACA